CTCCTTTCCCCATGTCCACCTCCCCCCCCTTCCCTCTCTTCCATCCCTCTCCTACTTCCTCCCCTCCCCTCCCCTTTTCCATGTCCACCTCCCCCCTTCCCTCTCTTCCTCCCCTCCCTCCCTTCCCCTCCCTCCCCTCCTTTCCATGTCCCCCCCCCCTCTCTTCCCCTCCCCCCTCCCTCCCTTTCCCATGTCCACCTCCCCCCCCCTTCCCTCTCTTCCACCCTCCCTCCTCCTCCCTTCCCCATGTCCACCTCCCCCCTTCCCTCTCTTCCATTCCCTCCCTCCCTTCCCTCCCCCCCTCCCTCCCTTTCCCATGTTCCACCTCCCTTCCCTCTCTTCCATCCCCCTCTCCTCCCTTCCCCATGTCTACCTCCCCCCCCCTCTTCCATCCCCTCCCCTCCCTTCCCCTCCCCCTCCCCTTCCCCCCCCCCCCCCTTCCCAAGAGCGAGGTCACAATCACCCGGACATTGCGGTCTTCTCACCAGGATGAGGTCAAGCCAGGTGACGAATTCAATTAGGTTAATGAAGCATTGTTCTCTGCGAAGGGGGGGGGGCGGGGAAGGAGGGGGGGGAGAGGGGGAGGGGGGGGATAAAGAGAGGGGGAGGAAGAGGGGGAAAAGAGTGGGAAGATACAGAGAGAGGGGGAGGATACAGGGGGGGGGTTGGAAGGGGGGGGAGAGAGGGGGGAGGAAAGGGGGGTAAAAAGAAGGGGAGGAAAGAGTGGGGATAAAGAGTAGGAAGATACAGAGAGAGTGGGAGGATACAGAGGGGGGGGTTGGGGAAGGGGGGAGAGAGGGGGGGGAGGAAAGGGGGGATAAAGAGAGGGGGGGAAAGAAGGGAGGAAAGAGGGTGGATAAAGAGTGGGAAGATACAGAGAGAGGGGGAGGATACAGAGGGTTGGTTGGGGAAGGGGGAGAGGGAGAAGAGAAAGGAGGGAGGAAGGGTGGGAAGATGAATGGGGAAAAGTAGGATAAAGAGGGAGGGAAAGGGGAAAGACTTGAAAAGAAGGGAGGGAGGGGAGGAAAATAAAAGAGAAGGAATGACAATAATAACAATAATGATGATGATAATTATATTACGTGGAGAAGGAAATGAAGATAAAAGAAAGAGGAAAGGCAGAGAAAAGAGAGAAGAGAGATAACAGAGAGAATAGGGAAGAGAGATAGCAGAGATAAACATAGAAGATAGAGATATGGGAAATAAAGGATAGAGAAAGAATAGAAAGAATAGAATAAGTGGGGAGAAAGGGGATGGGGGGGGGTGGGGCGGGGGGGGGGAGTCATGGAGTTACCACGGCTTAACTGATTGTTGGAAAGCCTTTGTTATCATAATTATTTGGTTAGTCGGTTGGTCTCTCTGTTGGTTGTCTCGGCGCCCAAACAGTCAGCGATGAGGAGGTGTCCCCGTATGTGGGTTTGAAATGTGAGTATGTGTGTGAGTGTGAATATGAGCGTGCGGTGAGGGTGTAGGGTTGTGGAACGTGTGTGTGTGTGTGTGTGTGTGAATGAGTGTGTGAGTGTTGTTTGTGTGTATGTGTGTGTGTGTGTTCGTGTGTATGTGCGCGCGTGTGTGTTTTGTGTTATGCATGGTTTTGTGTTGTTGTGTAGTGTGAGTATGTGTACATGAGTTTTGTATGTACTGTGAAGTAGTGTTATGAGTATGTGTACTGTATGTATATATATGTATGTATTTATGTATGTTATGCATGTATGTATGTACTGTATATGTAAGTATGTATGAGTATGTAATGTATATGTAGTATGTTGTATGTACTGTATATGTATGTATGTATGTACTGTATATGTATATGGATGTATATGTAAGTATGTATGAGTACTGTATGTGAGTATGTAATTTATTATGTGAGTATGTATGTATGTATGAGTATGTACTGTATATGTATGTATGTATGTATGTATGGTGTAAGTATGTATGAGTATGTAATGTATATGTAAGTATATATGAGTATGTACTGTGTATGTATGAATGTATACGTAAGTATGCATGAGTATGTACTGTATATGTATGTATGTATGTACTATATATGTATGAATTTATGTACTGTATATGTATGTCTGTATGTACTGTATATGTAAGATGTATGGTATGTACTGTATATGTATGTCGTATGTAATGTATATGTAAGTATGTATGTATGTACTGTATATGCATGTATGTATGAGTATGTACTGTATATGTATGTATGTATGTACTGTATATGTAAGTATGTACTGTATATATAAGTATATATGAGTATGTCCTGTATATGTAGGCATGTGCGTATGTAAATATGAATGCATACACGTACGTACGTTCCGGCTAATAATCCCGACCGTACGTACGGACACTCGCCTAAGTACGAGCGTGTGAACCATATTCTGACGCCCATGAAACGTCCGTGTTTTTTATGCTCTTTTTCCCCCGCCACACAAACGAAACAAGGCAAAATTCGACCAAGGACCTCTACGCGATAATTACCACCCTATTAAGTCCAGCATTTAGATGGCCGTTGATGGGCGTGCTTCGCGGGCGTGACTCCCCTACGCCCACACGAAAGCTACCGCGAACCGTAGACTGACACCGGGCCGGTCATCTGCGCGCTGTGATGGGACGCGGATCAGAAAACGTAATTAAAGCTTAAACGAATTTTTTTATCGATTTTTTTTCTATTTTCTTATTATATTTTTATTTATATATATTTTTTTATTTTCTATTATCTTATTACTATTATTTTTTTTTTTTTTACTTTTTTTTTTTTTTTTTTTTTTTTTTTTTGCATTCGAANTCCCTCCCTTCCTCCTTCCCTCCCTTCCTCCTTCCCTCCCCTTCTATCTCCATCTCTCTCTCTCTCTCTCACTTACTCTCTCCTTTCTCTCGCTCTATTTATTTATCTATCTATCTAATTGCCTACCTATTTATCTCTTCCTTTGTTTCCCTTTCCCCCTTCCTCTCTTTTTCCTTCCTATTCGTACGTGTTGTTTTCTCTTTCTCGTTCTGTCGCTACAACACATTCATCGTTCTCCTTTCCTTTCATTCTTCCGTCTCATTGCATTTTCGCTTATCATGTTTGATGTTCCGCGTCGTTCCCACGCAATCGGGTTATAGCCACACCGGAAAGGCCCACAGACAATTTGATTCCCGCAGACACGCCTGCAGACAGCCTCATAGTCACAGACACACCCGCAGACAACCAGATAGTACAACCACTTCGCCACAGACACGCCCGAAGGCAAGTTGATCGTCACAGACACACCCGCAGACAACCTGGTGACCACAGATATGCTTGCAGACAAATTGATCACTGCAGATACTAGATTGTTGATCTGTATGAGTCGGCGAACATTTGACACACTCGTGAATTACTGTCATGTTTGCGAGATGTTAGAACTACTTTCTCGGATTTATTATTATGATTTATTATGATAGAGAAATCCCAAATTCGGTACAGTGCTCACTCTTATCCGTTTCTTTTTCCTCCCTCCTTTCTTCACTCCTTTTTCCTTTTTTTCTCTCTCCCCTCTTCCCATTTTCCCTCCCGCTTTCCTTTTCCTTCCCTCCTGCCCTTCCCTCTATCCCTCCTTCCCTCCATCTTTCTCCCTTTCTTCCTCTCTCATTCTCATTCTCTCTCTCCCTCTCTCCTTCTTTCTCTCTCCCTCTCTCCTTCTTTCTCTCTCCCTCTCTCCTTTCTCTCCCTCTCCCCTTCTCCCTCTCCCTCTCTCCTTCTCCCTCTCCTTCTCTCTCTTCCTCTTTCCTTCTCCCTCTCCCTCTCTCCTCCCTCTCTCTCTCCTTCTCTATCTCCCTCTCTCCTTCTCCCTCTCCCTCTCTCATCCCTCTCCCTCTCTCCTTCTCCCTTTTCCTCTTTCCTTCTCTCTCTCCCTCATTCTCCTTCCCCTCATCCCTTCTCCTTCTCCCTACAAGTGACACGGAAAAAAACGACTGTCTTTTCGGACAGGTTCCCCATCGGCAACTTTCACGCCCAGAGCAGAGCAGAGGGATTGCAAATCACGAAGACTTTCACTCTCTGGCTGAGATGGTCCACGCGGAACTCCAAGACGATTGTTTTGATTAGGGCGTTAATGAGGATTGGAAATGAGAGATGATTGGATGCTTGTGTGGTTAGGCTTTTCTTTAATAGGGTGAGCTAGTTTATAATTCGCGTGTTATTCCGTAATTAGAGTTGGGAGTAAGGTATCTAATTTGCCGTTTCATAGTTAAATTGTTCTAAGAGATGATCGTTGCTCTACAATTCGTTTTGTATTAGGATAAGAGTTAATTGGCATTTTTATACACATTTTTCACCTGATAGAAATCATATAGTCCGTTGAGAGTGGGCGTGCGGTCGAGATTTCTTTCGGGCGTGTTAATCGCACAACAAATTTCTCCCTGTTGTTTCTCTCACAAGCGAAGGGGCGTCGCAGTCGGGTTGTTCATTCGCAGCGCACGAACTGGCAGGGAAAGGTACAAAAAAAAGAAAATTGTGCGTGTTGTTAGTATAGCATTTAAGAAAAATTACCTTTTTTTTTGTAAGGTAATGAAGTTGGCATTTCCGGAATAAAGGTGCTGTTTAAGTGTTTTAAAATGATATGTTAGTTGTGGGGTGGAGATATTCTCTCTCTCTCTCTCTTTATTTCTTTCTTTCTCTTTCTCCCTTTCTTTTTCTTTCTTTCTTTCTCTCCCTCTCTCTCTCTCTCTCTCCCTCTCTCCCTCTCTCCCTCTCTCCCTCTCTCCCTCTCTCTCTGCTTTGCCTCTCTTTTTCTATTTCTCTCCTGTTTTCTCTCTCTGCTTCTCTTTTTATCGTCTTCGTTCCATATAACAATTTCCTCCCTATATGTATTTCTGTCTCTTCCTTTCTCCAACCTGCTCCTCGAGATACACATTAGCCATATCAAATTTCAACTAGATATTCTGCGCATGCGTGAAGGAGAAAATGTTCATAGGGCATGTCACTCGCTTTTACGCGACAGGTCAGTTCGTTTTATTTGTTGTTTTTTCTCGTAATTCCGAGGGATACGAAGTAAAGGCAGGGAAAAATCGTATCAAAAGAACGTCGTTGCTTTGGGTTCAGGACCAGTGAAGTTCTCTGATTCGCCTGAACGCGACCTCGGCGGGGCGACCCTTGACCAAGAACAGCCGGGTGACCAGGAGGAGCCGAAAGTGAATTCCTGACTTAGCGGATCATTGGGTCGGTTTCTCATCGGTTTTTGTTCTATTTTTATCCCACAGGACGTCATGAGGTACTTGACGGCGGTGGTGGCGCTAGCGGCATGCGCGGCTGTCGCTCATGCCGGCACTAGGGACAACTGGTCGTGGGGCGCCGAAGACCATGGAGAGGCCCACGCCTCTGCGCCTTCATCTATCTCGTCGGCCGTGGCCTCAGCCCCGTCGTCGGGGTCGCCCAGGTCCGTCTCCTTCACCGCCAACAACGACCACCAGTTCGTCGACTCCGGCGCCACCATCGTCAGCGCGGTGAAGCAGAGCCAGAGCGTGATTCCTCCTACGATTGTGATCTCAGGATCGACCGGATCGACGGCATCGGCCTCGGTGGCGCCGCAGGTCACCGGGGATCACCTGAAGGGCGAGACGCCCACCGGCAGAGTCGACGGAGCCGGGGACCAGACGGAAGGGAGGTTCTTCGGCATCAAGTCCAAGCTCTGCGACGTTGGCATTGGCTTTGACGTGAGTGAAGTATATAATTTTCTTGGTAATAGATTAATTATGTTGATGCTAATGATAATGATATCATACTAAAAGTAATGGCAACGACGTAGTAAACAGTTATAGACATAAATGGTTGTGGTAACTCAATAAACACGGGTCTGCTCGAGCATAAAGATACACTCGTTTCTGCGGAGAAAGGAAGGCCAGTATGACACTTGATGTGAAAGTTCCAAGTAGCTTTTGCGGTCAATAATCGCTCTTATCAAGCACTCGGAGCCTTTCACTTTTGTCGTGCTTGTTTCCTGGTACGGCGTTTTGGCTTCACTTACCTCATGAACAGTTGAAGAGTAATATGTAGTAGAAGATGTAATTGATATACAATATATAAGTAAATTTAGTGATCTCAAACTAGTTATTTTTTAGCATTCTTTTGCGTATTAAAGTCTTCGAATGAAGCTAATCCCCCGCCCATCGCCCGCAGTGCAAGAAGGGCTACTACAAGGGCGACCACATCAGCCCCTACGACATCAGCTACGTGCAGCCCGTGCAGGTGGTGCCCGTGGGCGGCCCCATAGCGTCCGTGCCCGTCAAGAAGGGCTACCACCACAAGGCCAAAGGACACTACAGCCCACCGTCCACGGGCTACGGCGCCCCCCACCTTCCCTCCACTGGATATGGCGCCCCCCACCCTCCCTCCACTGGATATGGAGCCCCCCCACTTCCCTCCACTGGATATGGCGCCCCCCCTGCCTACCACCCTCCCCAGTCGAGCTACGGCGCCCCCCCAGCGCCCAGCTACACCCCCCCGAAGGCCTCCTACTCGGCCCCGACGGGTCACGGCCAGTCGGTGGTGCACCACGTCCACACACACCACCACGTCTACACCGGAGGCTCGGGCGGTGGCTACGCGAAGGACTCCTATTCTGGCGGCTTCCTTGACCGGTCCTCCAGCTCCAGCAGCTCCTCCGTCAACAAGCTCGGGTCGGCGCTTCCCGTCATTCCTCTCGGATCCTCATCCAGCTCGTCCTTGTCCTCTTCCTCGTCCTTCTCTTCCTCATCCGACTTCCAGAGGCTGTACCGCGAGGACTGCCAGTGCGTGGACCCCGTCTACTGCCGCGACCACGACATCGTCGGCAGAACCAACAGCAACTTCGGTTCCCTCCTAGACGCCCGGACACGCAACACCGACATCCTCTCCACCGCAGATGACGAGACCGACAAGCAGGCCGCCGCGTCAGAGAAGCAGGAAGTCGTGGTGGAGAAAGAGGAGGACAAGACCGAGACCGCCGCGAGGACCAGGAGAGACACAATGAAGTTCGTCAACGACCGCTTCGGGTCTTCGTCCAGACCACAGGTAAGGTCCCAGATGTTTCTTTGCTACTTTTTCATAATCATTTAATAATTCACATAATTACAGACTTAAGATATCACGAATCCACAATAACCTTTCAAGATGAATATGCATAAAGGTACACAAATAACGTTAGTTCTATTTTGTTGTAAAAAAAGAAACCTTGTACCCACAGCGTCAGTCATCCCTCGGTTACACCCCTGGCGTGAACGGCTGCGCCGTCGGCCACGTATGCTGCCGCAACCCCTCCTTCCGCCAGTCCCGCCAGGTGTCCTCCTGCGGACGTCGTAGCTCTTTCGGGCTCCTCGGACGCGTCAAAAACACGCACTTCGAGCAGGGAGACACGGAGTTCGGCGAGTATCCTTGGCAGGCGGCCATCCTGCGTCGCGACGCCGGAGATAACGTGTACGTGTGCGGCGCCGTCCTCATCGACCGTCGCCACCTGCTGACGGCGGCGCACTGCACCAGCGGGTAAGACCTGGACCGGTTTCAGACGCTTTTTACTTATCCTTCTATGTCTATTTTTACATTATTTTTACACACCTGCTTATATACATACTTTTAGTCCTTACTCCTCTTTCTTTGCTTTTTCCTGGCCGTACTATTCCAGTTTGTGCTCTTCTCATATTCAGTCTCGTTTCATGGAAAGTGTTCTGAACTCTTCTCTTTAGACGAACAGATATGCAAACTGAGATATACATCATTGTGCATATACATGTA